TACTTCAGGGTCCCCTCCTCCCCTCCCGTGTTCCTGAAGCAAATCCCGCTTCCCTCCCTGAGCACCTTCCATGGGACAGACTCTCATCAGCACTGCCTCCCAGGAGCTCCCAGTGTACAGAAACAGGGCACATGCGGGAACACCTGCACACAGGGCCATCTGGAGCAAGTCCCATCCCCAGGGCAGAAAGAAAGAGCATCAGGAGGCTCCAAGAGGGTCTCTGGGCAAGATGGAACTTGACCCTGGGACTTGAAGGTGGGAGATGATTGATGGGTCGGTCTGGGGTGGGAGCGCATCTCAGGTGAGACGACGGCTCAGAGAAGGCCTGTGCTGGGCAGAATGAAGGGCACAGTCAGGCAGCGGTGCAGAGCAAGCGGGACAGTGGCGGGCGGGTAACTGATGAGGGTCTTGCATGCACACAGCACCAAGGTCGAGGGCAACGCAATGTCTTATGAACAGGAGAGTGGCAGGGTCAACTCTGTTGCCTGTGAAGAGGGAGGACCGGAGACGGTGAGACTGGGATGGGGACAAGTAGCAAGAGATGACAAAGGCCTGGATAGGAAAGTGTCCACGTGCAAGTGCAGGGGGTGGAGGGAGACATTAGGAGAAAAGCTCTGCAGGACAGGCAGCTGCTTAGGCATGTGAAGAAATGAGGGAGGAGCCGGCGGGAGCCCCAAGCCTCAGATCTGAAAACCTCCTGCCACCCCAGGAAGAGAAGCAGGTGTGAGGGGAGAAGCAGCTGCTCCAGGGAGGCAGGTTTGACCCCCAGGAGCTGATGGGGAACACTGGCCTGTGGCCTGAACCTAGGTTTGGGTGGAGATGCAGGACTGGGAAACATAGGAAGACATGAGAGAGAGAAGTCAAGGAATAAGCAGAGAAGCCTGAGTGCAGAACCTAGAAAAATGGAGGCTGACAGCCCAGCAGCCCACAAAGAGCTGGATCCTGCAGCAGCCTCCTGAGGGAGCTCTGAAGCTGAGGCCACCCAGCTGCACCTGGAGGTGACTGTGGTTCCAGCCAGCACCTGGGCTGCAGCCTTGAGAAAGGCCCTGAACTTAGCCATGGCTGGGTCACTGCCCCACAGAAGCTGGAGAGAAGAGTGCACTGTTTTAAGCACTTGTAAGTTTGGGGGTAATTTGTTACACAGCAGGAGATAACTAATACACCTCCCTCCTTCCCTTCCCTCCCTCTCCTCTTATCTTCATCCCTTCTTCTCCTCCTCTACCTCCTCCTCCTCCCCTTCCTCCTCCTCCTCCTCCTCCTCTCCTCAGCTGGCTCAGTTTCCTTCTGTAAGAGACAGGCATCTCTGTGCTATGGAGAATACAGGCACAGCAGCAGCCAGGCTAGGCCTCCTTGTATCATTCCACCTTAGGAAACTGAAGAATGGGGCTTTTCCCACCAAATCTGCTTAGAAAAAATCCTATAGAACAATGACCAACCCAGGTTGGGACTCCTCCCTGGGATACACTGTGGCCAGGGGACAGGTGTTAGGGTTGGCTGGGTCATGAGCCAGCCCCCAGGTACAGCCAGAGGGCAGCTCTCACTGGACACATGGGTGGCTCGGGGGGCAGTATTCGTCCACAGGAAGGAGTGTGCTGTTTCAAACAGAAGGGGGGAAGCTGTGCCAGGAAGACAAAGCAAGAGACGTCCACTGCAGTGGCCTGGGTTTCCTCAGGGATGCAGATGCCTGGTCTCCACTGAGGGAAGGGGTGCTGGACAGGTACAGAGCTGGAGGATGGGGGACAAGGTGAGAGAGACCTGCTGAGAGAAGCGAGGGGGGATGTGGGAGTGGAGCTGATGGGGTTGGGGAGCAGTGGTCAGCACACTGGGTCCAGAGCAAGGGTGTGGGACACCCTGGGCCAGGACTGGCAGGTGGCCTGGAGGAGATTCAGCCCTGCTGGTTAGAGGTAGGCTAGCGTAGTGGAGGGTGGGTGTGAGGGGAGACTGAGGCAAACTGGGACAGAGAGGCCAGGCCATTCAGAGCACTCATTCAGAGATCAAGGAGGAAGGGCTGGCTTGAGCATTGAGGACAGCCACTCTGTTCTAGAGCCACAAGGTACATTGCACCTGCCACTCAGACCTTGTGGGGAGGTGGCCGTGTGGGAGATCACCTGGCAGCTGCAGTCAGAAAAGAGAGAAGAGAGTGTGATGTCTTCCAGGGAATGGAGAGGGCTTGCTGGCCAATGCTGAGTGTGGCTGAGGGAGGCCAGGCACAGAGAGGCCCCTGGAGATCCCTCTCCCTGAGTGACCCGGGGCAACATTCTCGGCCTGTTCTTCATTGGCACCATGCAAGGGAAGGGGACAATCTGAAGGCTCCTGTGGATGCTAACCCCTGCCCTTCCCTCCCATCCCCACTTCTGCTGGTGGAAGAAGCCCCATCAATCTGAGGACGAGTGCAGGCTGGTGAGTGCAGACTCCCTGTCGGCCTATTTGCTCACAAGGCCTATGTCTGCCAGTCTGCTGTGCCAGTTTTCTATTGCTGTACAACAAACTCCCACAGATTCAGCAGCTTGAAACAACACACATTTATCATCTCACACCTCCCATGGGTCTGGAGTCTGAGCACGGCTTAGCTGGGTCCTCCAATGAGGACACCACAAGGCTGCTGTCCAGGTGTCAGACAGCTGTGGACCTTTCTGGAACTCTAGATCCTTCCTCTTTTGAGCTCCTGGTGGTTGAAGGACTGAGGGCCCTGCTTTCTTGCTGGCTGTCAGCTGGGGAGTTCCCAGCTCCTAGAGGCCCAGTGGGTCCCTGCCATGTGGCCCCCTCACGATGTGGAGACTTACTTCCCCAAGGCCAGCAGGAGCCCTCTCTTCATGAAGGGCCCAGGCCTTCTTTTAAGAGCTTTCACTAGACTAAGCGAGGCCACCCAGGATAATCTTCCGACTGACTCAAAATCAACCAATTTGTGGCCTTCGTTACATATGCAAAATCCTATCATCTTTGCCATATACTGTAAGCTAATCACAGAAGTGACACACATTTTATTCAGAGGTCCTACCCCCACTCAGAGGGTGGGATTGCTAAGTGTGTATACACTGGGGGCAGAATTCTTGGGGCCACTGTAGAATCCTGCCCCCGACACTAGCCTGTGTCACGTCCCATGCTGGGTGCTGGAGCTACACAGGGAGGGAGAGGAAAGCTCGGCATTTGAGGACCCCGTGGGCTCTGAGACACAGACACAGATTATTGCACACGGTAGGATGCATTTTATGGGAAGGCATAAGTATCTCTGCTTAATGCAGGGTCAGGGCCTTCACAAAGAATGGCGTCTGGGGGCTGGATTCTGCAGGGGGCTTATTCACCTGAGGCAACAGGTGGGGTAAGGAGCCTCCAGGCAGGAGAAATTGCTGGGGTAGGTGTTTCCAAGTTACCAGCCTTTGGTTAACTACCTTGTGCCTGCCATAATTATCATTTACTTAGTACTTTTTCTTTAAAACAACTCAAGTCTGTTTTACTTAGATTTATTTTAAACAAAACTTCTATATCTCGAGAGTAAATGGAAAATAAGCATTCCTTGTTATAAATAGAAGTTAACCATAAAAATAAAAAAAACACCAGCTCATGAATTTCTTATGAACCTGCAGCCTGCTCTTCTTTGTTCAAAAAGGGAATTAGTATGTGTGAGAGGGATGTTTACAAGATACCAGGGGAAAAACGATAATTTTCCTAGAATTAAGAAGTAAGCAGTTGTCCTACTCAGACACAGGGACACCATGGGTGCCTGATGACTGCTGTCTACACGTAGCTGCTTGGGAACCAGGCTGGGAGGTGGAGGGCTGATTGCACCAGGTTTATAGGGCAGACACTTGGGAACACCACCTGAGGGGGTGAAGGCACAGGCCAGGCAGAGGGGGAAGGAAGTTGAAGTGACATGGTGACATGTGGCTGCTTCCATACATGGCTCTGGAGCTGGGATGGCTCTTCAGAGTTGTCCCAAATTGAGACAAGGGAGCCCAAGCCTTTGTGCCACTACATGGACTAGCCACGGGACATGGGTGGCCCTGGGGAGGAGGTGGTGTGGCCGTGGGCAGGGCGGCTCCTTCGGCATCTAAGGGTGATTCCTGGGGAGGTCCCCGCTGGGAGCCGTCCACAGGCACCACTCTGACACTGGGGAAAGAGGGCCTCGGTCCTGAAGGGGAGTTTGGTGACACCACAGTGTCCACTACGGTTTACTTTCTCTGCAGCTTGGGTCTCTTTGCTTCTTATAATGATCCCATTCTACCTGAAAACAGCTCTCCAGGATTCTGCCTGGTCTCTTTTCTTGGGAAAACTTCCAAGAGAAAGGTTAGCAGAATAGACAGCTGCCCCTCTGCTGCAGCTGGGCTCGGCACCAGAGGTGTGCTTCCTCTCCCTCCTCCACCACTCCTTCTAGATTCTTCTCCATCTCAACTGGCACCTCTGCTGGCCTCAGCTCTGTGAGTCATCATGCCCTTCTCAAACTCTGGCACCTGCCCCCATCTATTTGCCACCAGAGTCAGGCAGGGAGGTACCAGAAGATGTCCCTGTGGACTGCCTGGGTGCTAAATGCAGCTGCCTGCCCTGGGTGTGGCATCACTGGGTCGACCACCCGTGCAGGACGTAGTCCTCTCCTTCCCTGCTGGTCTCTAGACAAGGAGCTGGGAGCTGTTAGGCAGAACCTGTCACCAAACGTGGAAAGGGAATCCTGCCGTGTCCCCTGGTGGAAGCATCCTTCTCTAGCCCCTGGCATTCAGGACCACAGACTGTCCTAGTGGGCCACCGAGAGTGACGGAGAGCATCACCACTCCTGCTTCTATGCCTTGGTTCCTGGACTGCTGGTTTCTACCGACTGGGGGAACAGCATAGCATATGTGCAGTGGTTTAGTGTATGCATTGTGTGGTAGAGCACGGCCCCATGCTCAGAGAGGGTCCTCTCAAGACAGAAGTCCAGCTGCACTTGCCGGTGCTCTGCTGCCAGGATGTGACAGGACCCGCAGATCCCAGTGGCCTGCATCCACTGCGGTGCCTGCTTTGCCATATAGCAAGTCCCTTGGTCCGATGCTGCATCACATAGCATCCTGAAACAGCGTCAAACGCTACGTAAATGTGAAGGCGAGAACAGCCAACCAAGCCCAGAGCATACGCAGGCTCCCATCGAGATGGGTCGCTGCTCCTCCCAGGTGAGAAGAATCTAAGTAAATCATCCTCCCACCAGGGAACTCGTGTGACCAGCGGGCTGGGGCTGTGGCGTGGCTCCACGCTGGTTCCCCTTGCTGGTAGGCTGGACACTGGGAAGTGGCGGAGCTGTCGCGCTGTCATAGCTTCCACTCTGCCAGCTGCTCCACACATGCGCCCAGTGGGCTGATGACAGAGTCTGGCTGATGTCAGCTGAGCGGGCCATCCTATCCCCCTGGTGGCTCAGCGTGTCTTCCACAGCAGGTGCTCTCTGGTGGACGGTGCACAGCACATGCAAAACAAAGACCTCGCTTCCTGCCCTCCTGCTCTTCTATCTGTGCCTCACCCCCAGGCCTCTCAGATTTCGGTCTTTTTTCTTTCGGGCTCCCACTGAACTGCCCACACATCTACCTATATTCTTACCCCAGGCCACACAAAGAGAACTCCCCAGCATACCCCCAAAGTTCTGCCTGCAAGGAGGGGTTCCCTCCATTCCCGTCTTTCGGGGCCACCCCTGAGGGAGGGAGCCACACAGAAGAATGTGCTTTCAGTTTGGAACCACATAGGGAGTCTATCTGTCCATACGTTTTCCTTCTCCATCAGCTGATCACCAGGGACCCCCACATAGCCACAGGTGTGAACTGAAAGGGAGGCACAGGTGCACGGTGGTGGGTGGCAAGGAGGCCCCAGGTCCTTTTGTGTACCCTGGCACTGCCCAAGCCCATCTCAGATGGACCACTTCTGTCTTTGATGAACTACTGCTGGGCCACCCAAGCTTATGACAGGGTGGGTCTAGGAGAACACAGTCCATGATGGGCAGCTCTGGTTGTACCACCAACCGACATCCCATGGCCGGGCTCCCTGTCTCTAATAGTGCCCAGTAGCAAATCAGAAGCTGCTTTCCAAGGGCATTCCATTCTCTGCTGCAGACACTGTGGCCTTGCTCCAAACCTTGCTCCTACTGGACCCTGCCGTAAATTCCACATGATGTCTTTCCTCCAGATGCCTCTAGTACCACAGGGTCTGACAGTTCATATGGTCCAAGCAGCAGGGCTGCTTGCTCTTTGGCCTAGACTGGCTACAGAGCCCTTTCCTGCTCTGGCTCCCACTCAAAGCCAGCAGCCTTCTGTGTCATTCTGGGTCAGAGTTGTATTCCCAAGGATGAAATTTGTAGTCTCCAGGATCCAAAAAGACCAGGAGTTATGTTTTCTTCTTACACATGGAAGTGCAAGATACAATAATGTGTCCTCTACTTCGGAGGAGATGCCCCAGCATGCTCAGACCACTAGCCGCCTAACAGCCTCACTGATGTGGCAGACCCCCAAGTCTTCATGAGGTTTCTCTCCCACCCTCTGGAGCAAATATATCTTACCAAGGTCTCCAAAGTACCTGTCACTTCTTGCTGATTCAGTCTGATTAACAGGATGTCATCAATACAGAGGACCAATGTGATGCTCAGTGGAATATCCATACAACCCAGGTCCATTTGATCAGTCATGACAAAGGTATGGAGTTAACATGGCCCTAGGGGAAGAAATGCATACACCAGTAAATACATACTGGTACCTGCCCCAGTGAATGAAAACTGCTTCTACATCCTTCTAGAATGGGATGAAAAAGAACACACTGGCCAAGTTAAAGGCTGCATACCATGTACCCAAGGCCATGCCAGTCTGCTCTACAGCTAAGACACCACACCTGGCACTGATGCTTCAGTCAGGGCTGTTGACCCTACACCTGACTGACTGCACGGTCATCCACTGTCATCTCTAGTGTCTGCCTGATTTCTGTACAGGGCAGACTGGTGAATTGCGTGAGGACATCATGGGGACTATCAAGTTGCTTCCTTCATGTTTTTAAGGCTGGTACTAATCTCTACCATTCCCCTTGGGGCACGACACTGATTTTGACTTATTATTCTGGCAGGGAGCAGTAAGGGAATAGTTTCAGGCTCCAGTTGGACTTCCCTCCTATGCTAACTCCTACCCTGCAAGCTTCAGCTTGCCATCCCCACTACCCAATTCTTACCCTGCAGCCAAGGAACCCATGAAAAGTTCTAGCAGCTACTGTGGATGTTCATTCCAATTAGACCCTTGAGGTTGGAAGAAATGGCTATAGATGAGTCCACGGGCCTGGTGAGCTGGGCCTGAATCGGGATCCATTTGTTCCCCAGTCCCCACAAAACACCACTCTAACAGGGGAGTTTTAAGGACGCTTTTGGTCTTCGGTATCAATGTCAACTTGGACCCTGTGTCCATCTATCCTTTAAGGGCCTGATGTCTCCCTGAGTAAATGGCCTGTGGTCCCTTTGGAGAAGAATGGGGACCATTACCATCCGTCCTTGCTGTGATGCTGCAGGGTCCCTCCTAGAGCCTCTTCTTCGCTCAGTGTGTTCCAGGTCTGAAAACTGGCTCATGTCCAGAAACTGGGCAAGAGAGTGTGACTTTGATTGGGGTGGCTGGCCTGGCCTCACTCATCCACCCTCAGTTGATTTTTGATTGTACAAATTGAGCGATACTCGTCAGCCACCTGTCGTGTGTCCCCTGGGACTCCAGGTTCTCTTAAGCACCTCCGTAGCTCAATGTGAGTTAGGAACACTGGCGGCACTCCCACTGTGCCTCTTGATTTGGACAATTAAGTGCTCTATTATTTGGGGGTCCTTTTGTCTCCATTTCTGCTAGAAAGCCCAGCTGAGTAATGACATCCCCTACGCTGAGCCCCAGCCCACAGACAACAGCCACCACTGAGCTGTCATGATGCTGGGGCCCCTCTTGCCGGTACATTTCTTATCACTTCGGTAAATGGAGAGACCCCTGAGCCCTTCCCTGGAACACATAGGCTTGTGGTTTTCTGGTCTTATGTATTTATCTATGTCTTATCTAGTATGTCTGCTTCTCTGAGCCTAAGTTTTAATCTGTTCCTCTGTCATTTACTGTGGCAATTTTGGCATTGATACTTCACATAGTGCAGACCACTGCTTTTTCCAGTAGTCTAAGAGCCAACCCCAAACCACAGCAGCCCCATCCACCAGGGCCCTTGCCATGGTATATATCCTGCCTCACAGGTGAATGCTCCTGTGTTGAAAAATTCTCCCTCATCCAACTCTATATCCTGTCTGCCTTAATGCAGCACACTCTGGACCCAGTCCCTGTCACACTCTGCCACGTCCTGCTGGCATATGGTGAGTCTACAGTATCTTTCCCCTCTGGTGGGCCCAGAGCTTCCCAGGCTGGCTTAGGTGGTGGCATGACTGGTTTTCACCTGACAGCTGGAGTACAGTTATGGGTAGATTATGAGAGGGACACATGTTATGTGTGCATCATCTTCAATCAAGGGCAGTGGGACCCACTTCTTTTGGCCCAGAGTGTTCAAGGAGGCATAGAGTTTTAAGGTTTTTGAGTACATCAACCAATGTGCCCCATTCCAAGTCTCAGGACCCCCCTCCTTCCCAACGATGACCCTGACTTTGGCATAACTGACTTGCTGGTGTGAAGTGTTTAACCAGCTCTGCCACCTTCATATTTTAGTCCTAGGCTTGATCCTCAGCTGGATCAGCTGCAGGAAATGATTTCTTTACATGTTGACATGAAGCCCTCTGATTTTCACACTTTGCCTTAAATTAGTGATTAATCCCCCTCAACCTTTCATGGTCTATCTCCAATGTATCCACAGCACTCAGCAAGAGCCAACCCATCCCACTGTCTCTAGAATGATCCTTTCCCCTGAACCTCTCTATTATCTGACAAATGGAACTCCCAGCTCACCAGTGCAGCATGCAGAGGCTATCCAGACTCAGCTGCGCCAGTCCCAGAGTCCTCATTGCCACTGGGCAGCAGATCACACCTTAAAGCCCACTTTCTCAGACCAGTCCTGGCACTGACTGTCTTAGGTCAGCTGTCTCAGGAAAGAGACTCTGAGATGGAAATGTGAGTGCAGAGGTCTACAGGAGATGCCTGTGGGACCGCACCTGTAGGGGAGTGGAGGGAACAGGGTTGGCCAGAGGGAGAAATTGCAGGTGACACACCTGCATCAGAGGCCTCAGCAGGGAGGGGCCCTAGGTGGTGCCCGACGCCAGCAGGGAGGGCCCAGGGTGAGGAAAGTGGCTGCTCTGAATTCTGGGGTATGGGAGGACTGGCAGGAAAGGAGACAGAAGAAAGGCTTGACCCAGACAGACAGGCCAGATGGTAAGGGCTTCAATGCCAGGCCGAGGACATCAGGCTTTGTCCCTCCCACAAAGGAGAGCAGTCAAAGGTTCTGAGGAAGATTATTCGGAGTTGTAAGGAGACTGTGCTGCCCCAGAGGGGTCCTAATTTCCAGAGTGTCCCTTTGGCTGCCTCTCTTGCAGACTCCTCTTAAACGGCTGGCTCTGGTCGAGACACTCACACACACACACACACACACACACATGCATGCACGCACGCACACACAGCCCACTGCCCCCCTCCCCAGATCGGATCCCTTCAAATTGTCACTCCCTACAGTGCTGCATTCATGCGTCAGTTCTAAATAGTCCCACTGTTCAGCTTTAACGAGAAGTAATACCAATTCCCATGTTTGCTCAGAGAACACCATATTTCATCAAACCAGAGCCCTTGCCAGCTCAGATTACTGACTGAGACAACGTTCTGTAATCCTGGTTTATTCACATGTCACGGGTATTTTAGCAAAACAGAAATGAATGGCCCACGCCACCCTAGGAAGTAATGGGAGAGTTGGGTCCTGCCCAGGGGAAGTCATGCTTTCGCCTGCCACAGTTCTCAGAGGAGCTGACTTTGATTCTCTGAGTTTTTTCCCAACTGCAAGAAAAAGAATATGGGCTGAGGAGGAATCACATAGTGGGTAGTTATTTCCCTATAAAATGTTAACTCCGCGGATGGATTTTGCCAGAGCAAAAATAAAATCTGTCATTGATTATAAAGTCTTTTGTGCTTGTTATTTCACAGATTTATTACACTCTGGCCCAACAGCCTGGGGAGGCCCTGGGATTCTTGTCTGCAGCACCCCACAGCTCATGCTCCAAATGGGAACAGGGAATTACTCGCATTTTTTTTTTTTTGTCCTTAAGGGCCAAGAGCTTTGAAAATCTAGAAGAAGAGCTGTGAATCATACCCCCAGTCTTTGCACAGGGACCCGTAGGCACTAATGACAGCAGCCAGTTGGTGGAGGTCTACAACTTCCTAATCAAGAAAACACTGCCTTTCCTTTTCTTTTCAGCTCTTGGCACTCTGTGATAAGTACATTAAGAAACACATTAAGAAATGTATTTCCTCTGCAGAGCAAGAACAAGCCAGGCTCATGCCACCTCTCACTAAGTCTCCCTGAGTCTGGGTCCACTTCATATGGGCTATGATCTGTTTTGAACACAGGATAAAGAAGAAGAACAAAAATACTGCCCAGGGTGATTTAGCACAGCTTCACGTTAAACCTTTACCGGTGATCCTCACAATATTCTGCTCTTGTCCCCATTTTAGAGTTGAAGAAACCGAGGCCCAGAGAAGGCAAGTAACTTGCTTAAGGACACACAGCTAGGTAGTAGTGAAAATAGGGACATGAACCTAATCCCAATTGACTCCACATGGTCATGTAGACCCACTCACTACCAAGAACAGGTTGACATGAGGCCACAGACCCGGAAGTAGAGTGTCAGAGCTGAAACAGAACCTGGGGGTCAGTGTCTCATTTAAATGAGAGGCTACCAGGATTTGAGAGAAGGGATGGGGCTGCCCCAGGGTTACAGAGTCAGACCTACAAACTGGCTCTGCCACCAATTAACTGGATAATGTCATAAAACAATTGCTTGGAAACATTTCATTTAGGGAGAGGTTCTTGATGAAACCAAATGAGCTTGATTTGCAGAACTATCCAGAGTTTGCTTCTCTCCTTTACTGGGCATAGAGCTTCATAACTGTTGAGCCTCTTCCGTGCTTCCCTGAGACTTTCTGAGCTGAAGGGAACCCTGCTACCCCAGAGATGTGGCAGAGAGGCCTGGAAGACCAAAGGGCCCCCGAACGACCTCTCACCTCTCTGGAGAGAACACTCTCCATCCCGATTGGCAAGTTCAAGACTTCAGCCCCCCTGGTAATAACAGGGCACAATCCTCCCAGGACTGCGATAATTTTGCAGGAAGCTGTCAAATATCACAGATCTGAGGACTTGTATACACAGTCTGCCATCTCAACTCTTATTCTGAGCTGCGGCCTGAGCTATTAAAAACAAAACATTCGTGTTGGCAAGCTCCACAATTAGCCTCATTTCCACGCTAGAAACACTGTTCTGCATGAGCTGAAATTGCAGAGAGATTGTTTCTTGTCTTAGCAATGCTGTTTCAAGGGCCATGCTGGGCGCCAGCGAGGATGTGACCCAGTGGTAATCTGAATTGCTTCACCAAACACATTTTTATCCCATCATCTCGGCTACATGAAAGGGGGCCACAGTGCTCCAGTATTCAAGACTTTACAGTCCCGCTGTTCAGCAATAAAACGAGGCAAGAAATATTAGCCGTCCCTGGCCGATGGCTTAATTCTTTCCCAACAATGTCAGAGAATCTGTACCCTACAGGTTTTAGTGCTGGCTAAAGCCTGACCCTCAGCTGGCTTGAATGGAGCGGGAATGAGTTAAGGCGAGCAAGAAGGCTTTAATGGACGCGGATCCCGAATAGCCCAGCTTGGGAGGCCTCCTGCAGACTCACCCTCCTTTCACAGGCCTCGATTGTGCTGGGCCCTGCAGAAACAAAACTACCCATGAGGAGAGGTTACCCCCAGCCGGTGCAGGTCAGAGGCATTCTGGGGGAGAAGGGGAGAGGGGGGCAGAGGGGAAGTGAGGGGCACATGGAGAAGTGAGGGAAGTGGGGGTGGGGGAGGAGCAGTCAAAGATGGCCCGGAGAGCTTCGTCAAGTCCCCGGCTGCCACATGATCATCTCACTTCCAGGCAGATCATTTTTGAACACCAGTTCACAGAACAAATGGGAGCTATCCTAACCGGAAGTGGATGCAATGTGAGCTAATTTTCAAAATAAATGAAATGATTCTCTCCAGTTTCCCAAAAGCTACAGGCTTGAGGTTCAGAGGCTCTTAATAGGATGGCCTCTCATTTGACACTATGAGATTTTAGAAAATTACAAATGGGTTGTGTTTTACACACCAACAGAAGCTTTTTCCAGCAATTTTTCAATTATTGCATTGTGAGCCCTCCAAGAAAAGTAACTATTTTGGCTCCCAGAGCCCAAAGTTACCAAGTAAAGGGAACAGTGTGTTTGCAAGTTTGCAAATAGCCCTTTGAAATGTAGCATAGACTATATCCGGGAGCTCTCAAGAAGAACATGGGTTTGGAGAGGTTCTTTCCTTCCCTCTCAAAGGTTCTTAAACTTTTTAGGTGGTTGTTGGACCTCTTTCTCAGTCTGCTGAAGCCATAGGCTGCTTCTCAAAAGAATGTTTTTAAATGCATAAGATAAAATATACCGAATTACAAAGGAAGCCAATTGCATTAAAATATAGTTATCAAAATATTTTTTTAAATCACTACAACATAGTAACATAGTGAAATGTCCCTTTTCATCCATTCATTAACTAACTAGCAGTGAGCCTAACAATTACTATAATTTCAAAAATAGTGATGGGCAAAACGATGCTTTGAAAAATATGCAACTGCTCTCATGTGATTTGAAAATATCTGTGGATGTCGTCTATTGGTGACAAAGTCACAGGTGTGGCTAACACCACTGCGGTTGGTCGCCTGCGTTTATAATACTAGGAAATGATAAATTTCAGTTAGAGTTAGTGAAAATGAAGGTGTAATTTTCCCCTGTGAGTTCACAGAGCCAGGGGGAAGAAAACCTTCCAGAGGCAAGATAAAGCTCAGGACCTTCTACCCAGCTAAACTGAGGGGCAGCCAGCTGGGGACTCACTACATCCTCGCTTCACTGGGAACCCTTCCTGGGAAAGCTTTCCCTCCTCCTGCTCTGATGCTTTGGAAGCGTTTTTAAAAGCAAATTGAAAGCATGTCCTTTTTGGTGCAGTCCTGAAGCCTACATGTCCAAAGATTAATAAGGACCTTTGATGTGTTTCTTTAACAACTGGAATCATTGTTGCCCAATAAAGGGTCAGTTGATCAGCTAGTTCTGAATTTTAATCAGGATCTTGTTCCAAGTTGCCTTAGGTTGGTTGAGCTTTGGGGCGAGGGCTT